AATATTTGCACAGTTTTAATTTTTAATTATTTGGGGGCCCCCAACCCGGACTACTTTTCATATCCAAATCCAAATATTTTCCTTTTTTTCACCCCCCTGTAGAGCCCATTATTGCACTACAGTTGTCCGATGGCTAAAAACACCCTCACCAGCGCGATCGCAATCGCGGTAGGTGGTACCAACTCTGTCTTATACAGTAAGACCTTCGACGGAGGCGTCGTTGCAACAGCCTTCCGACGGAACTTGAAACAATAGCAGCGCTACACAACGTGTTGCCCGATGGCTAAAACACCTACACCGGATCAGTCGCAACCAACGCCAGTGGAACCAACATAATTAAAGGAAAATGAGAGGTAGAGATAGGAAAGAATGGGGAAATAAAGGAAAAAGAAAAGGGAACCCCCGAGCGCAAAGGATGCCGTAGGCTTAGGTAAAAGGGAGCGTCTTGGTAGAGACGGACTTCGACCAAGGCGACATTCAACTCTGGCAACTCGGGTTATCTTTACTGACTTGGTGGTCAGAGGGCTAAGGTATATATCGCCCCGCCGGAGCCACCACAGTAGCTCGCGGCGCTAGATCCTAGATCTAATCTAGTGTCAGCAAAATTAATACCAACTAATTAACTAAATAAAATAAAACAATTAAAAATTGAAAATGTGCAATTATTCACACGTGTGTCCCCCAACCCGGACTACTTTTCATATCCAAATATTTTCCTTTCTTTTCACCCCCCTTTTCAGGTGCGTATTGCCCTACAGTCGGGAGACCAAAATGTAGTGCAGTGGACACACTCGCCAACGAGGGTGTAAATCTCGCTATGAGGAAAAGCGGTATGTCCAGTCACCACCAGGGTGTTCGGGGCCCTCTGTCCGTGGTAGCTCAGAGGTAACGCGAGACTCGCGTGTAGATTCGCGGTCAGCGCGTGAAGGGGTACTCGGGATCGAGTAACTAGAAGGAGTGGGTGTGACGGTCGCGTCGCGGACCGCTATCGACAGCGTCGAAGAAGAATAAAACAAGAAGGGAGAAGAAAGAAGGAAGGAGAAATGTAGCGTAGAAACGTAGCAAATAGGGAAAAAAGTAAAGGAAAACGAGAAAAAGGATGACGACGAAGGGTGCAGGTACCAGACTTAGCCAACTAGATAGGAACCGTAGAGGATCCTACCAGAGATGGGGTCCAATCACCTGATGCCTCTTTACTGTAGCGCCTTCCGACACCTGACCTATATAGGCCGAGCGCCATCGTCGGCGTCGGTTGCTAAATGGGTAATTAATAATTAATTATCGTCATTAGAATTGCCACTTGGCATTAGACGCTAATTAGCGTAGAAACTTGTGGGCACCATGTATGTATACGTGTGGTACACGTGTTGTACACGTATCATATACGTTTCATACCACTGTCATACGCGTGGGGTACATTCCCAAGTGTGCACCCACAGTACACGTGTCAAAGGCCGGGGAGCGCAACCCCGCGACGGCGGTGACCAGGGATAAAGGGCGCAGGGTCACTGCACTACGCTATGGATGCCGGAATTATTGCAGCTCTTAAGGTGAGGTACCGGCCACTACATTACGAGCATGCTTTGGACCGTGTGGATGCTGGTGTTGGAGAAATTTATAAAGTGGACCAATTAACGGCGACGAGGTGGATGCGGACCATATGGGATCAACTTCCGAAAAGTGTTATGGCCAATTCCTGGATCCACACGGATCTAATGGATGGGAATTGTCTAGACCCAACAAGTTCTGAGGATGAGGAGGTGGCCGGAATACGGGCTGCTCTATCTAGTCTGTTGCTTGACAATGTGAGAGCGAACATGTCTGTGCGTTCTATTCTCAATCCGGTCAGGGAGGATGACTGTTTTTAGGACATTAATGAAGACAATTTGGCAGAGGAGGCCGCCGCAGGCATCCGCGGAAATATGGAAGCGACAGAGCATGCAGATGACGAGGTTTCATATCTTGACGAGATGAAGTTTGAGGAAAAATTGCGGGGGGTGGTTGTTGTTCGCTATTTGCTCGAGAGTCTTGATGCCATAAACCCTCTAATTATCAATGCCCTGCGGTCTACTCAGAGACAGTTGAAGCGCGAGCGGTCGCAGGCATCGCGCCAGACCAGAATTACCAGCTTTTTTGAATCACTGTTTTGACGGTTAGGAATGTTTCAAACATGGGCTCCGTATGTAACAATTTGATAAGCGAATAATCACGATAAGCGCATACAGACCTCATCCACGCCCAATATGCGCTTATGGCGAAACCACTGTATCTCTAAAAATTTACCATTTTGAGTAAATCTATCTCTAAGCAGCCGACCGGATGGAGACAGATTTACTCATTTGCGCAAATAGAGATGCGAGTAGAATTGCGCCACTTGGAAGAATTACCAAAAACCCACGCCAATTTTATTGACTTGGCGCGAGCAATGTTCTCTGTGCACAGGGAACACACTGTTTTCTGTGCACAGGGAAGACCCCCAACACCCCCCATCCCAAGCTGAATTTACCCCCCACTGCCACCCTCCTGCATTCTTCCTGGCGCCTTCCCTTCTCCCTTTCCTCCTCCTCTCCTCCCTGCCCTTCCTCCAGGGCATGATGGTGTCATGTGGGGCTTGAGGAGATGGGAACCGGAGACGTCCCCCACAGTATATCCGTACAGCACCACCACTACCATCCCTCGTACTGGATGACCGTCACGGCTGCCGAAAGATCCAATCACTGCACAACACGTTTGAATTTGCCCTCTAACCGGTAGTGTTGCGCCTAGAATCGCTATCTCCAAACGCTAAATTTCTCATATTTAACCTCGAAATATAACTAAACCAGTAGGGGTGCTCCAAGTGCTTTCACGCAACTGCGATATTTGGGGTACCGTTCTCATCGGCATAATTTGGGTAATGGGGCAATTTGGGTACCCCCAAAATTCCAACGCTAGGCCTATCGCTTATCCCCATTCCGTCTATCTGGGAGATTCCTTAACGTGCCCAAATTATGCCGATGAGAACGGTACTGTACGTAGTTACCCTAGTACCTCACATCCACAGACACGGCACCGTGAAAGGACCACACTGTTGAGGAAGCATGTCACCCAGCACTGAGGGCACCCCTGAAAACTCCACTAGCTAGACCGTCTACATTATTAAGCAGCATTCCGTTACCACAACACCGGCAACTTTTCCGACACCCGCTTCTCCTCCTCCCGAAATCATGACACGCACAATGCTACTCGCTTCGACTTTGCTTTTGCTGGCAACTGCCCGTATCGCTAGCGGTTGTCTCTGCCCCCCGCCCTTCCCGGGCACGAAGAACTTCTTCCAGATGGCTTTTCACGCGGCGAATGTCGTTGTCAAGGCGAAAGTGATCCGCGAACTGCCTCGTCCTGCTTGCACCCCTCCATGCCTCGGCCCTCCCTTCTTAGAGGAAGGCCGACGAACGTATGTGCTCCGTCTTATCCGCTCGTTTAAGGGCGAGAAACCACCCCGTCGCTTTACAGTAGAGAGTGAGCTTAACGCTGTGCGTTGCGGCATCACACTGCAGAAGGGAGCGGTGTACATGCTGAACACGTCAGGCAGCGGGGGCAAATATTTCGTATGGTTATGCCAGTACAATCGTCTGTGGAGCAGTCTCTCGAGGGAAGAGAGGCGCTTCTTGTGGAGGTGCTCTGCTGGTGGTAGAGGCGGAAAGAAGCTATGCGAAAGGCCCACGCTCTCGCCGGTTGTGCCAGTGTAAGGATGGATACTGGATGAAGCACCCGGTAAACATAAGTGGACATACGCTCGCGACATCGTGTCTTCTTTGTCTGTACTGTAGATACAGCATGAAGATTGATGGTGTGCTCATGTGCTGTCTCAGTTGTTTCAGCTGCTGCAGATCTTTATGTGGATGACCGGAACAGGGACTGGAATAGAGACTCACAAGTTTTCATGTCAGTCTCGAGAGCAATAAAATATCTCCATTGCCCCATTAGTTCGCTGGACGAAATTGTGATCTTGCATTGATTTTCCTTAATCTCTCGGTTTTGCACGTTTAAACATTCAAACGATTCGTTTTATTGCGAGCACGGCAAAGCATAATTGATAAGATGTCACGCCACATGTCTGTCATTTGGATTCCCAGACGCAAATCACGTACAGAGCGTAGCATTTTCTACGGCAACATAAAAGCTTTTGCGCCGAGCTCATTGCGCGCTTGCGCAGCGATAGCGATTTTCCAGGGTCCACCCAACTGTCGGATAAAAAAATTTATGCTTAATTTAGATTGATAACATATGATGTTAACACCCTCGGCACCGTAGAAACGCTTCTTGATGAGGCTTGAACAGGTACAACCTCAGAGGGATTAGCTGCCGTCTATCTCGCTGCCTACAGTTCGAGTCGAAATGTGGTAGAGGCTGAGATAGAATGACCTGGGGAGATTATCTCAGCGAAGGGGCCAAACGGCAGAAGTTGGAAATGCTTAGAAAGGAACGGGACGGCGTCGGACGAGGGCGTTGCTACCGCTGCCATGGTGGGCATCGCATTTGCACTGTCTCGCGATAATTCCTGCGGAGACCCCTCTAGTTAGCACGAGGATCGTGGTGGGTCTCTGAGACAAAGCCTTAACTTGATCCCACAAAATTTTCAATTCGGAACAAACTGCAACCAGTGTACTTGAGTCGTTTGCACAACGGCGCATTCCGCACATGTCTCGAGGAATATATCTTCAATCAAGATATAAATTTTCTCAAAAGTCGTGCCGGCACAGGTGTTTGCTTACCCGATCTCGGGACATCAAGTTCACGGTTGCAGGGGATGGGAGATGCCCGTGGTGTGAAACATAAGGTGAAAAGATATACGAGAGAATGCTGCAGAGGCTGTGGTAGACTACATGGCGAAGTTACAGTCAGAGACCGTATGTTGTTAGCTGGTCATAGAGTTTCTCCACTGATCATCCCATTCTCCTGTCACCACGTATAAAAGAGAGACCTTTGTCACCAGTGCATGACATGGTCACCTGAAAGATCAACGTACGACTGGCAATTTGATCGTGAGAAAGTCGGACAAGGACCTTTACTTTGCTTCTTTGGATATGGCGACCGCTATCTTCTTCGCGGTGGTGCTGTGTCTTATAGCGCAAGTTCATTCTCGCCTTGAATTTGTAGCCCGCATACCAAACGGGGACGCAGCTTCACGCCGTGGGTCGGGCATTACCTGCCCGCATCTAGGGCACAACAATTGCGTGCCCGGCGCTTCGCGCAATTCATTTGGACTGGGCTTTAAGGCCGCAGGGCTCCAATATACGCGAGCCTTTTGCAGGAAAGATTCGGATGGAGATGGAATTCCCAATGGTGAAGAACTTGGTGATCCTTGCTGCACCTGGAGACCAGGAAGGGCCCCTGCTCGGAGAACAATGCTGAGCCACCCGGGAGTGAAGGCAAAAAATGATGCGAAGTTCGCACCGCCTTGTCGGCAGCAAATGGTACCCGGAAGAGTGGGGAGGTGCAGATCATTGAGGGACAGATACACAGCTTCTTGCGTGTGTAATGCAATTGTGACAGGGGCTATCAGGGTTGGAAACAAAGCTGTCCTCTCGATGACATGCAGAAGGCTGCTTGGTTCTGCGCGCCGAATCAGAGGCTTGGGGTGGAGCTGTCGTGCTTTCTTCGCCAGTCCTTCTGGACAAGTTCAGAATAGCAAGATCAGCCGCAACACGAATATTGTAAACCGGTGCAAATAAGCTGAGAGGCGACAGCTGTTCGCTATCGACTTCCAGAGCTACTTGTTCGACCATTGCAGCACGGAAAGGAGTTGTGACGTAGCGATATGGAGACATTTGGAGATCTGGGCATCAATGATTCATCAAGGATATAGTATCTCGGCAGTACTTCTTTTACGATATACAGTACCGCAGATATAAACTTGAGGATCATGAGGTCGTCCTCCATTACGGGTCTCGCCATGAGCAGGTAGAAAATGTAGCAATCGACGGTGCCCAAACAACTGATGGAATTTCTCTCAAGACTGAATCCTTCTCCAATTCACCTCCCAATTCTAGCCTAGCTGTCCTTTTTTTGAAGCAGAAATCGCATTTTGATGTTGAGGTCAAGATCTCTCATGAGCTTGTCGTGGAATCACATCATACCGTAGCAGGGTGATTTCTCGGACAGAGAACAGCCTATCGAACACCAAAATCAAACTGCCTGCAGTTTCCAAGAATGCCATGTGCTGTAAGAATCACGGGCATGGCTTACCGTGATTCGCTCCCGAGCAGAATCTCAGTGTCCAAGTCCGAAGAAGCAAAGGTCAAGACGCTGTGAGTGTTTCTCATCGCTACAACGAAAAACTGGAAGCCATTATCCGCATGAGAGTCAGGCAGTCTTCAGCAATACCCCACGACCACACAATGCTTTAGACCTGCAACTTTTTGTTCATCCCAGAGTGTCTGTGGCCCGACTGTTTGTCGTAGCTGTGCAGCAGTCGAATTGAGGTTGTGTGATCTAGCAATCTTGGACTTCTTGGCCAACTCATCCACCACGCCTTACAACGGTAATCTCAAGACCCCCCCAGGAAATATTTTGCCCCGCTCTACCCAGGCGGTGCTGGTGTATGAATAACGCTCTGAACGTGCATATTTCGCAAACCTGGTACAATCTTGATCACCTGCTCTGCCTTTCCAGCTTCTGCTCCGCGAGCATTAGCTCCTGAAATAGCAATGGGTATACACAAGGGGTGCGCAGCACGAAGTGCATCGACCGGTAATCTTGGCACATCTATAATCGCTTGTTTTGCTTCGACAGCAAAGCGGCTAGGATGTGATGCACTATACTTTCTTGACATTCGCTCCTCGCGCTCACGATGTGCGCCTAGTATTGCAAGACTGCTGCGGAAGTTGTGGAACTGCTTCTTCGTCTATCCCATATTTCGACTGGTGTGAATGATGCCATGACATGGATATATGCTACAATTCAAAGAGGAAGAGCGAACCAGGCGAATGATTGGCACGTCTGAAGACTGAACCGCCCCAAATCCCGATTACAACACTTGCTGAAACGTCGCTCTTCAAAAAGCCTTACAGCCGGTCAACGATGGTCGTCCTCCTCGGGCACGCCCATGCGCTCTCTCAGGAGGTCGTAAACGGCAAAAAATAGAGCGCTCCCCAGAGCTTCCTTTGCCATCTGGAGCCTGACGCCTGTCCAGACGCCGGGCAGCCCTTCTTCTCTAACGACCTTCCTCAGGGTAGCGACGACGCCGCCATAGACAGCCGGCCTAGCAACGACGCGACTAACGACAACATCAAGCGGTGCAACGACGGCCGCCGCCAGCGCGCCAGTGGCCATGCCAATGGCGAGCAACTCGAGCGCACGGAGCCGGGGCCTGTGGACGGCGGCGACGTACGCGGCCTTGAAGGCCTCGTAGCCTGCAAACTCGACCATCTCGAAGGGCATGTCACGGGCCAGGCCGACGGCGGCGGCGGCGTACAGGCCGCGCCAGGGCGGGCGGGCGAAGCCCAGACGGGCGCGCGCGGCGGCCAGCGAGAGCGGGGCCTCGACGGCCGTGGAGGCGAGGGCGGCGGCGGCGGCGGAGAGCGCGGCGATGGGGAGGCGGGCCAGGCGGTGCGGGAGGA